AAGCTAATGGTCTGGTTCATTGTAGCTTCATTACCTCTTAGCTAAGTGATAATAATGATTATGATATTCGTGTAGCACCTTTCATACTAGGTGCGTCACTCGAGTGCTGTGTTTAAGTTATCAACTGAGGTACTTGTACTTTTCTTCGTTATATCTTTTTTATGCTGTTATACTTCACTACATTTCTGAGCGTAGTATTTAAGCTCCACTACATCTGACTGCTTGTTCTCGTACCCTTTCTATTCACTGATAAACATAAACCTCCTAATTTGGTGATTTTGAATTGTGTTTTTTAATGGCTTGAGACAATTCTACTTCGTAAACTAAAATATATTTAGAAAAATCCATTGGATTAGCTGGACAATTAGCAATCACAAAGCTTAAAGTAAGGCTGTTCTCCATATTTTATATTTATGTTTTTATAGAGGTAATGTGTGGTTCTCAAGTAATGCCCACAACCACAGCATGAAAATAAAATGTATCATTAGTATCAGTAATATTTATTCAAGGACACAGTATATAGTAAAATAGTACTATTACAATGCTGACAGGGTTTACTTGGGGTATTTTTTTCTTGTTGCCTGCTTCCTAAATTAGGGTTTGATTGTGTATTTTCACAGTATGGCATTTGTACTTTTACTTAAGTAAAGAGTTTGAATACTTTTCCACCACTTTCCAATGCTTCATGTCCAATGTAAAATTTCTTTTGATCCTCTCTGTAAAAATGTAGTATATTTCTGGATATCATACATTAAAATGGCCATGGTGATTTTTGCAGTGATCATTAAATGAATTACTTACTGTGGGATAAACCTGTATTCTATCGAGAGTACGCTATGTGTTTGCTGGTAAGCTTTCATTTAGAACATGCAGAGCAGCTTGATCCAGATCTCACCAAAAGTTTAGTCAGATTGTCAGTGACTTAAACTTCCTTGTTTATGACCTGTTGTTTTCTGTCTGCCTTTCAGTGTGGTGTGTGGCACTAGATACTGACATCACTACAGGACCTCAACGCCGTGTTCCAGCTGATTTAATGGGCTGAAGACGTTGTTGTGTGTCCATGACATGGTAGACCAAGAAGCTCTCCTTGGATCCTTGAAGGAATGGATGGATTATGCTGCCATTGCTTAAGCCCTCCGCATCTTCCCACTGTGACCTGACATCAGCTTGTGAGTACTACCACAGTGGACTTATTTGCTACTATGCTTTATCATGTCAAGCAGCCATCTGATGGCCTCCATGCTCCCAAGCAACAGCTTTGGCTTGCAGCATGTTTTACCACAGCAGAAAATCATAGGAAAAGAGTACATGTTTCATTAATGCAATTTTCTGGGACGTTCTGGCTCACTGAAACAATGCAATGTCTCATTGCAGCACTTGAAGGGAACTCAGCCATCGTTAATAATCATCATAATTTGGATTGTATTTTGAAAGGTTGTAACATGTTTTAGTATTGGTTCGATCCCACTTGCCACATAGTATGCTGAGTAAATAAGAACATATCTTTTTACAGCAACCTTCCAAGTCCACAGGGGCTGAGTTTAAGAGACTCAAAAAATCAATTTTCTGCACTTTAAGATCATATAATCTATATTCTTTATTAACAACATAGATTCTTAGCTAAAAGTTTATAGTACTGATGATGAACCCACAAACCAGGCTATGCAATTGGTCCCCTTCATAGTGACTTTTAGCTTATTGTTTCAGTTGCACTGCCCATAACTCACCACTCTTACAGTGTCATTTTCAGCCAAATAAAACCTACTGTACTAGTAGAGACTAGTAGACACATTGAAGCTTGAAGCAGAGCTTGATCGAAGTGATAATCGGATTTAACTGTAAAAAAAACTAATCCTCAAATGATTTTCCTCTGTATCTGTTTTTTGTGAAAGCAGTCAAATGTTTGTTAACAAGTTTGTAATGTCCACTTAAAGAATCTATATGGGGATATGCCAGTGTTTAGTTAATCGCTCATTTCTGCTGCCCTCAATTTACTACAGGGTTAAATATTCTCAGTTAAATACAGTAGTGGTCAATACTACACGTAGTGCTGTGGTCTGTGACCACTCACAAGCTCTCAACCAAGTTTACTCTTGTATACACAGTGTGTCTTATATGTTATCTTAAATGTAGTGTATCTTACCACTGTTGACTGTAATCAAAGACAGAAACGTTAACAAGAGGCAGCTGGCAAAATCTCTGCGAGGAACACACACAAACTTCTCCCTGGCAGGTTTCAAGAATGGTTTAAGAGTGAGAAAGTATCTAACATAAGAACAAAAGATTCTAATGATGTTTGCTCCACTATACCTTTGCTAACATGGCCTGAGTGTTGGGAAAGGTCAGATAGGTGGCATTATACTTTTATGATGATCATTTATTTATCTTGTCAAGTAAATCCAATCAGAATGCCTGGGAGCTACCCAGATAGCAAACAGGGATAATTAGCATCACTGGGAGAGGTGGTGTCTCCTTGTACTCTGGCCTCCACTTGCTTTTATCTGTAGTAGGTGGTGGAGAAGCTAAATATTGATGGAGCTGCCCATACTCACTGAAACTCAAACAACACTGTCCAGCTTTGTGAAGGGCTGTGTTTCAATGCTGGACTCTCTCACATAGACTAAGGATGACAAACTGCACTCATTAGTACTTCTTTGACACTCTCTTGCCAGTAAATGCTTAACTTGTAATTACTCTCACCTTAAAACTTTTTTTTTATCAGATAAAATGGGTTTGTTTTTCTTGGGTTACTTTTAGACCTTTAGTTTGGTTTCCTTGGTCCAGTTGCTGTAAGTGACCACAGGGGAAAATCCAACTGAGGTTCATTCTGTTGACTGACAGGAAATCATGCTGCACATCACTGTGTCTTGGTTTCGAGTTTTTGTTGGAGACTGCAACTTGAACTACTCTTTTTAGAGATGATGAAAAACAGAAAGAGAGGTTGAACAAAACTTGCACCATGCCATATGTTTGGGGTAATTTAAGTCTGTCAGGCCTTGGCTGTGACAAAAGTTGAAGTTTTATGCAGTCTAAGGAGTTTGGTTTCTAGATTGAGAAGTTTGTAGCTATTTAATTATTAAGAAGTCAGACCTGAGCCATCTTCTCAACTCAACTTTATTCATAGAGCATTTTTCATACAAACATGCAGCCCAAAGTGCATCACAGGGCAAGTTTTAACAGATTACAACAATCAAACAAAAATAATACAAATATATAAAAAAGTATGTAAAAATGATTTAGACTTTTTGTTTAAATCCTTACAACTAGGAGGCCAGAGGATCTGAGGGATCTGCTAGATGCACAACTAAAGAACTTCTCTGAGAATCACTAATTTAAAAACTACTAAAATCAATTCTTAAACTGATGCAATAACTTTTTGCTATACTCCCTACTGGATCTTCATCTGTACTGTGCGGTGTGATTTTATAAAAAAGTTATCGGTGGCTGACCACTCAAGAGCATTCCAATAGTCAAGCCTACAGGTTATAAAATCATGTATTAATTTCTCTTAGATTAAAATCCCATTTCTGCTCCTTTGTAGGCATGTTTATGTGAGCTAATTAGTTCTCATGCTCTGACTTTATATATATTATATCCTCATTTTGAAAAATGAATATTATGCTGTCTGTTCAAGTGTACACCAGGGAATGCTGCTGACATCCCTTGTGTGTTCAAGCTCTGCACCTCTGAAATGTCCCCGCTCCAATTCCCCAAAAGAGTCCAGTTTAATACTAATTAAGTTATGTTTTTTCAGGATGTACTGATGAGAAAAAAATTATGCAGGATGTAGAATTATCTGTCCAAATAGTCCAACCCCAAGACACTGGTTAAAGCACAAAAGCATGGAAGTTGTCACCGTTTCAATTTTACAATTGTTTGCAGAAGAAGAAGAAGAATACTGTGAAGATCGAGATTTATGGTATTTGTAAGCCCTGTAACCTTCATGACAGTGGAACTGTGTGTTTCATCCTTTGAAACAACAGTGAAAAAAGTAAGGTTGCTCTGTGTTGCCTTTTAATCACCTCTATCAATTACAGATTGCTGATTCTGAGGCAAGACTAGTTGTTACATGGTTTAACTTACCTTATTGTTATCATTGATAGCTCTGCTACAGAGATGGAAAGTCTAATGCTTGCACTGATGTTAGGCCTGAATGTGGAGGGAGTTTGTGAATGATGATCCGATAAGCTGTAATGCAGTATTCAATTGAACTGGCGTGTAAGCATTGCAGCTACATTATGCAGAGGCCTGATGAGCTCTATGACCCGTACCCATTATAATGTAGGTCCTCCTGCAGTGTTCTCAAAGATGCTAATCATAATGCCTATCAAGCCCCTCAGGGCATTTCTAAAGGCACCCCGATCAGCAATATTGACTAGATATTGTCTCCTGAGTTCTAGAGGTCAATCTGAATTGCTGAAGTCTGTTTACATCCATTTGGGTTATTACAGATTAGAACTGAAAAGGCATTAGCTAAAAAAGGACAGCAGACGTAAGTGGTCAAACTGGGGAATTGTTTTGTCCTCCAAACAATGATTGATAGTTGTCCAAATTAGAGCAACTGGCAAGTGAAATTCAGTCCTTCATTCCTTCCTCTGGTGAATGGTATTGTCCTGTTTTTGTGCTTTACTGTTACTGCTCAAGACATTCTGTGTATACCTTGGGGTATGCTGAATAATTAATGGTGCCCTAATGACAACTGCAGTCCCAGATATACGAATGACCTTAAAAAGATTGATCTTTTTTGATGTTGCGTAGTACTTTGAACTATAAATCTGTTTACCCTATTGACCCAGGCGGACTGATCTAGAGCCAAACTGGTGACAGTGTATCAGAATAAAGGTTTTTTCTTTATCTACT